AAGAAATGTTTAAAACCCAGTAAGGACTTTTTCTTGCTGTTTTTTTTGAGACAAGGTCTCTCACTCTACCACTCAGGCTGGAGTGCAGTAGTGCAACCACAGCTCACTAGAGCCTGGATCTCCTGGGCTCAATTAATCCTCTCACCTTAACCTCCAGAGTAGCTGGGATGATGGGATGACAGGTGCATGCCACCATGGCTGGCGACATTTTCTTATTTTTTAATAGAGACAAGATCTCACTATGTTGCCAGTCTGGTCTTGAACTTCTGGCCTCAAGTGATCCTCCCACCTTGGCCTCCCAAAGTGCTGGGATTACAGCACTTTATGAGCCACCTTGCTCAGACAACTGGGGACATTTCAAATACACACAAATAGCCCGAAGAGGCTCCCATTGTCCAAATGTAGGATAACTCAGCAGGAAAAATTATTATGATTATGATGGAGTGTATCATGTTAAAAAGAACCCACTAGTCTATAGAGACACTAAGAAAAAAAGAAGAGGAGGCTGATTGCAGAGACTAACACCTGTAATTGTGCTCCAGTCTGAGCAACAGAGCAAGATTCCATCTCAAGAAAAGAAGGGGAGAGATGCCCAGGGAAAGAGCTTTTCTTTACAGAGGAATGCCAGCTAATAAATTCTGGAGGAATGATAGAATTGAAAATTATTTTGAAGCTATCTATGAAACAACTAACATAGGTGAAGCTCCTCAGTGGATGCTAAGATCTGCGTGTGCACAGCTCTTAGATGACAGGTTAGTCACATAGTCTCACAGATGGCTTATCAATGACAAGGGAAAAGAGGCCATTGCTAATGATAGACCTGTCAGACATCATTCCAGTGACCAAACGTAGACTTCCGAGCAATGGGGCAAACCCACAATATGTGTCTTCTGGAGTGATGCAATATTAAAATATCACCTTTGCAGTATTTTTACCTTTATTCTGAACAAATCGGACTGTGGGGCATTCTCCAAGACAACTGACCTGAACGCCATAAAATGTTAACGTCATGAAAGCCCAGAAAAAGTGGAAAAATTTTACTAAACTGAAGGAGATTAATAATGATAACCAAATGCAGTGGGTAATTTTTGATTAGATTATGCATTAAAATTGAAAAGCAGTTAGAAAAGTAATTTTGTGAAAAATTAGAGAAATTTGAATATATACTATATATCATAAAATATTTGCATCTCAATGTTACATTTCTTGGGTAGGTAATATGGTCATGTAGGAGAATGGCTTGTTCTTAGGTGAAGTATCAAGATGTCTGCAACATCTTGCAGCAAACATACAAAGATGGTTTAGTAAAATTAAAAAAAAACTTTTTTTTGGAGATGGAGTCTCAGTCTGTTGCCCGGGCTGGAGTACAATGGCATCCCAGGTTCAAGCAATTCTCCTGCCTCAGCCTCCTGAGTAGCTGGCATTACATGCACATGCTGCCATGCTCAGCTAACTTTTTTTTGTATTTTTAGTATAGACAGTGTTTCACCACGTTGGCCAGGCTAGTCTTGAACTCCTGACCTTGTGATTCACCTGCCTTGGCCTGCCAAAGTGCTAGGATTACAGGCGTGAGCCACCACACCCTGCTGAAAGAAAAAAATTTTAAGCCAAGAGTGGTGGCCAAAGCCTGTAATCTCAGCTTGTCCGGAGGCTGAGGCAGGAAGGTTGCTTGAGGCTGGGAGTTGGAGACCAGCCAGGCAACATAGTAAAATCCCCATCTCAAAGAAGAAAAGAAAAAAAGGAGAGAGGAGAGCAGAAGGAGGGGAGAGGAGAAAAGAAGAGGGGAGAGAAAGGGAGGGTAGGGGAAAGGGAGGGAAGTGGAGGGAAGGGGAGTGAAAGGAAAGGGAAGGAAGAGGAGGAGAGAGGAGTCGAGGAGAGGAGAAAAGGGAAGGAAGGAGAAGGAAGGAGGGAAGGAAGGAAGGAAGGAAAAAAATTTTTTTAGTTTAAAGGTTTTTATTTTTTGAGACAGGATCTCACTCTCAGGCTCAAGTGCAGTGGCATGATCACGGCTTACTGCAGATTCAACCTCCTAGGATCAAGTGATCCTTCTATCTCAGGCTCCTGAGTAGTTGGGACTACAGGCATGTGCCACAATACCTGGCTAACTCTGGGACTCAAGAAATTCTCCCACCTCCCAAAGTGCTGGGATTACAGGAGTGAGCCACTGCACCCAGCCTAAAAATATTATGCTAAATAAGTACTTGTGTGTGGAGAAGCAGGGGGAGAGAGAAAGAAAGCAAATGTGGGAAATCATTAACGATGGTGAATGTAGGAAAAGGTATATAGATGTTAATTGTACTTGACTTTAAATTTTTCTTTAATATTTTAAAAAATACAAAGTTTACAGAGAAAAAATTCTGTTTCTTAGCAGCTATAACACTTGAAAAACATTATGACTTCTCAACTTTTCTATTACTAGATTATCTTGTCACCTAGCTAGGCCTTAGAAAAGAAACACAAATGGGATGGGAAAGGACAGTGAAAAAGGCCTGGAAAAATGACTGGTGTGGCTACCTGGAGCCACCCAACAGGGAACCCAGGGAAACCGGGCACCCAAGGAATGAAAGAGCTAAACCAGAAGTTTAGATGGAAATCAAGGGATGGGCTCCAAGTTCATATCCTGCCCTATTTGCTTTCTAGTCTCCAGCCAGCCCTGACCTCCCCTTTCAGTGTGTGGGGGCATTTGTCACATCCTGTGCCCTTCACTGGCAGCCACTGACCTTTGATTTGAGCAAATAGGTTAAATGTCTCCGCTTTGGAATCAGCAGCCCTTGCGTGAATCTCAGTCCTGCAGAGTGAACCTGGACAAGCCTTTTATACCTGTTGAGCCTGAGGTTTCTTATATGTAAATCCTTGATAGAATAACCATGGGTTGTGTGAGGCTTTCATGAGATGATTAAGATAAAGCAGGTAGCACCAGGCCTGGTGCATGGGAGCTACTCAGCACATGTACAACAACATACATAGATAATCTCAGTGAATGTCACTATTACTCATCCATGTACTCAGCAGAAATCACTGCGTGAAGAAAGGCCTGGAGATTACTGTAGAGCAGTCTGATTTAGGATACACATCCCTGTGTGATGCCGCTTTGCCTCACCTACCTCCACATCCAGTTGGTCTACATGTTCTGTCCTCTCTACTTCCAAATGTGTATCCTAAATCAGACTGCTTGACATTAATCACCAAGGCCACCAGACCATCTCTTATCTAGCCTCCTGCGGCAGCCACCTGACTGCTCCTCTTGCTTCCACTCTTGCCCCTGTCTTAGTCTGTTTTGTACTACTACAACAGAATACTTGACACTAGGTAACCTAAAGGAACAGAAGTCTATTTCACTCATGGTTCTAGAGGTTGGGAAGTGCAAAATCAAGGGCCAGTAGCTGGCAAAGGCCTTCTTGCTGCAATATCCTGTGGCAGAAGGTGGAAGGGCAAGAGAGAATGTTTGAGAGAGAGAGGAAAGGGGGCTGAACTCATCCTTTTATCAAGAACCTACTCCCATGATAACTGTATTAATCCACTCAGGAGGACAGTGCCTTCATGACCTAATCACCTATTTTTTTTTTTTTTTTTGACATGGAGTCTCACTCTGTCACCCACACTGGAGTGCAGTGGTGTGATCTGGGCTCGCTACAAACTCCACCTCCTGGGTTCAAGTGATTCTCCTGCCTCAGCCTCCCAAGTAGCTGGGATTACAGGTGCCCAACACCACGCCCGGCTAATTTTTGTATTTTAGTAGAGACAGAGTTTCACCATGTTAGCCAGGCTAGTCTCAAACTCCTGACCTCAAGTGATCCGCCCACCTCAGCATCCCAAAGTTCTGGGATTGCAGGCATGAGCCACTGTAGCTGGTCCCTAATCACCTCTTAAAGGTCCCCACTCTGAACAGTGTTTGTTACACTGGGGATTAAATTTCCAACACATGGAGAGACTCTCTGAGCCTACTCTAGCTTGGGAAGCTGCCTGATAAAAATAAATAAATAAATAAATGGCCGGCGCGGTTGTTCATGCCTGTAATCCCAGCACTTTGGGAGGCTGAGGTGGGTGGATCACTTGAGGTCAGGAGTTCATGACCAGCCTGACCAACATGGTGAAATCTTGTCTCTACTAAAAATACAAAAATTAGCCGGGTGTGGTGGCATGCATCTGTAATCCCAGTTATTAGGGAGGCTGAGACAGGAGAATCACTTGAACCCAGGAGGAGGTTTGCAATAAGCCAAGATCGCACCATTGCACTCCAGCCTGGATGACAGACTCCATCTCAAAAAAAAGTAATAATACATACCTATATAAATAAAGTAGTTTTCAACACATGAATTTTGGGAGGCACATTTAAACCATAGCACCTCCCTTATTCCAGCAGACATTTTCAGATTAATGGGGAACATCACCCTCCTGTCTAAGCCCTCCCATGGCTTCCCATCCCCCTTCAGCACCTGTCATCACGTGGCTCCCAGCCAGCTCTCCAACCTCATCTCCTAACCTTCTCTGTTGTTCTCTGCCATCTAGCATGCTAGCTGCCTTTCTGTTCCCCAAACACCTCCATGCTCATTCCTCCCACACAGGCTTTGCATTTGTTGTTTCCTTTGCCTGAAATGCTGTCCCCTTGTGTCTTTGCAGACATCCTTCTCCTCCCCCTCCTCATCTTTTAGATCACAGGTCAGACATCATTTCCTCTGTGAGGTCTTCTCTGGCCATCCTTTCTGATGTGTAACACTTCCAATCCCATCAGTCACTTTTATTATCTTTAAAGCACTTGCCATTACCTAAAATTGTCTTATTTGCTTATTTATCCCTTGTATTTCTCCTTTATAAAATGCAAGCTCTAGGGAGCCTTGTGTCTTGTTCAGCATTATTGCTTCAGCACCAGAACCTAGAATAATGCCTGTCAGATAACAGGCATGCAATAAATATTTGTGAAATAGATTAACAAATTATAAAAGTTATCTTCAGTATAAAGCCATATATATGTGCCCAACATCTAGCATATTATTCTGCAGGTCAGGGCGTGTCCCTGTACATTCCGCAGGCCACCATCAATGCCACCGTCGAAGAAGACATCCTGCTCTCAGTTGAGTACTCCTGTCATGGGGTGCCCACCATTGAATGGACATATTCGTCCAACTGGGGAACTCAGAAGATCGTGGAGTGGAAACCAGGGACTCAGGCCAACATCTCCCAAAGCCACAAGGACAGAGTCTGTACCTTTGACAATGGCTCCATCCAGCTCTTCAGTGTGGGAGTGAGGGATTCCGGCTACTATGTCATCACTGTGACGGAGCACTTGGGAAGCAGCCAGTTAGGCACCATTGTGCTGCACGTCTCTGGTAAGACATCCCCAGGGCCCGGGTACCCCTCTGAACTGTTAGTGTATGGGAGGCCGATTTCACAATATTAAGAGACGTTGTCTTCCGCTTCCCCTCACCTCCACTCCGTAGAGATCCTCTATGAAGACCTGCACTTCGTCGCTGTCTTCCTTGCTTTTCTCATTGCTGTGGCCGCAGTATTAATCAGCCTCATGTGGGTTTGTAATAAGTGTGCGTATAAATTTCAGAGGAAGAGAAGACACAAACTCAAAGGTAACTCCCTGAGTCTTGTGATAATCCGTGCGTGGTTTTGAAGCCAGAAGTGGCACGTTTTATCTTGTTCTCACCAAGAATGCGCTATGTGGCTTGATTTCCAACTCACTGATTTGTCTTTGATTTACAGAAAGCACAACTGAGGAGACTGAGCTGCAAGATGTTGAGTGTTAGTTAGCCAAGGCTGGACCCAACTGCATTCCTACCTCAAAAGGAAACCATTCTCCAACAAAAAGAGCAAGCACAGCTCTATACCCATTGTGTGTGGTCCTGTTGCAGCCCGTCCTGACAGGACAGCAGGAAGTTAACATTGATTGCATGGAGTTGAGGACTGTGGATGGGACAATGCCAGTTTTAGGACTCGTGCTAAGGTCAAGGAGAAGAGTGAGGCTTTGAACCAGGGGCTTTTCTTGGCTGCAGCATCGAGGCGATGCTTACCCATAACCAATGGCAGAGTACAGGTATTGGCTACGTCCTCACAACACTCACTGTGGCAGACAGGATGGCCTGTTGTCAGAGGCCCTGTATCAGAGGCCAGAGCATCTCCAGACGGATGTGCAGCCAGCATTAGAACATCCTCTCTGTGCTCCTGTCTGCTCTGCAACGGCTGTGCCCACCAAGCCCCCCATCTGGTATCCCACAAGCACTACTGTGGGAGCTATTGTAAGAAAACCTGAGACTTTTAGACCATCTGCTGCCTCAGAGCAGAGGTGGAAAGAGACGGGGTGGAGATTGGTGCTGTTGTGCTGCAGGGAGTTGCTTTGAGGTGAGGCCCTGTGGCTAGGAGCTTTACGGGAGAGGAGTTCAAAACTCTCCTCAGAGGCCAGCTTTGGAATACAAGGAATAGAGAGAAAATTATCTTTCTCTTCCTCCCTCATTCCAACGTTAATTGGATTTTCCCTCCTATGGCTCAGACTTAGGCCACTGAGTAAAACAACAGCTCATCTCTGCTATGGGCAGCACCTGGCCTCCTGATGTGCTAGATGCCACCTGCGCGAAAGCCGAGCTTACACAGTGGGTGATGCAGCTGGAAAATCTGTCATTTCGGGTTTGGGATCTGTCCCCCTCAGTCACTAACACTTCACATCCCAAGTCAGGCCCTTGCCTTCTCCTACCTGGGCTGAGGAATGCTTGGCCCTCACCTACCTCACAGGTATTAAGAGAAGCCCATATGCACAGAGTTCTCTGAGCAACTTATGAAAAGCATGAGGATTCTTCAAGGATCTGGAAAGCCATACTGGAAAATGCTATTCTATCTGAGTATTAGAAGTTGATAGAATCCCCTGAGCTCTTGGGGCTCCAGGTGAGACTGGGGACTGGAGACCACCACTAGCCTTGGCCATTATTCTTTCAGGTTGTTGGTCACCATGTTCACCTGTAAGTTTCTCCACCCCAACTTCCATTTGACAAGCTCTAAGAGCAGGCATGGATTTATTTTCCATTATCTTATCTCTCCAATATTCATAGCTACAGACCAAGCGTACCACCTGATGATGATGTGTTCCCAGTCCTCAGCTGCAAATTCACCCATACCAAGATGAAGAAGTGCTAGAACATTCCTTTCTCTTCTCCCTCCTTTCAGTTCTCCAATGTCCATATCTACTCTGTTTCCTAAGTGGCAGAGAAGGAGTTGCTTGGATAAGTGACAGCCCTTTCCCTCAATATTGAATCCAGAGTTATGGGAAGGGATCTCTCGAAATATTCAGACAGGAATTGTCAGTATCTAAAAATTCAAAACGTGAGAGCAGTTGGTCTACACAACTGATGTGTACCTCTAGCACCTGAAGGGTAGAAGATACCTTCAAGGCCCCTCCTATAGCCACACACATAAACTCATACACTGTGCCCTTTCCTCATACAGCAGTTGGAGGAACCAGGTACTGGGCCAGGACAGTTTCCAGTGCCGTGAAGAAATGAGGTGAGGAGTACCCAAGGGTGTCAAGGATAATCTGCTGATTTCCTTCTCATCTTTCACACAGAAAGGCCGCCAGCAGGAAAGCAGCTGGAGTTGAATAGTTGCTTGGGCCAGCAACTATTCAACTCCAGCAGGGCTGGTAATCTTCATAATCAAAGGAAAAGAATACGCACTGAGAGGCTTCCATGGCAGATGTCAATTAAATTCCCCCCAAATCTCATGACAGTTTATTCACATCAGTGTAGTGTGGAAAGTTACAATTTTTTTTAAAAGCCTCTTTCCTTGCTTTCCATTTCTTTGAAAAAAGGGCTTCTTTTGCATTTTTAAAGCTCTGCCATCCTGAACATTCCTGTGGAAAGTTTTAAAATCCAGAGCCTCGGCCGGGCGTGGTAGCTCACACCTGTAATCTCAGCACTTTGGGAGGCTGAAGAGGGCAGATCACGAGGTCAGGAGTTCGAGTCCAGACTGACCAACATGGTGAAACCCCTGTCTCTACTAAAAATACAAAAATTAGCTGTGCGTGGGGAATGGTGGTGCACGCCTGTAATACCAGCTACTCAGGAGGCTGAAGCAGGAGAAGTCTTTGAACCCGGGAGGCAGAGGTTATGGTGAGCCGAGATCGCACCACTGCACTCCAGCCTGGGTGACAGAGCAAGACTCTGTCTCAAATAATAATAATCGAGAGCCTGAGGTTTTTATTTTTCAAAAAATAAAAACCATAGAGATTAGCCAGTGTAAATGTTAAGCTATAAATTATGTTTCAACTGTGAAAAAAAAGTATTTTAAAGAATGAATGAAATAAAACCTGAAAATAAAGCCCTGGTCCTTTGTGTGTGCACCCAATCCTGCTGAGAACTCAGAGGCTCTGGATGCTATGTCAGTCAGGGTGAGCATAAACAAAACGCTCAATCACCAGCGGCCGGGTCTGGCACGTTTTAAGTGACAATGCAACTAAATACACTGATTCTAACAGTAAACGTTACTTAGCAATTCAGAAAAACTACACCTTATCAGCACCACCATTCCCAATCGTTGCCAGAAGACCAATTTGAAATGTATGCTTCCAGAATATTAACTGTAATTCAATAACATTCTTCCTGCTTCTGGGATGGGTTGAAAGTAGGATTTGACAACTGTACCACTCATTCAGTAGTGGATAAGACACTGCAGAACACACATGCTTTCTCAACAGACTGTCCTTTCAAAGATTATGATCCTAGAATCCCAAAGGGTATTTATTGTACTTTCTCATTTCACAGTGTTCCGGGTAGGCAGGGAAAGCTCATGTCCTCCGAAGCCCACATAAGATGGTAAATACCTGAGAGGGCAATACCTCACAAAGGTGAGAAGCAAAGGCAGTAAGAGAGAAGGTTATCAGGATATCTTGCCCCAGGCAAGAAGACAAAGCCAAACCCATTCCAAAGAGCTGGGTGAGTGTAATCAGGATTGAGAAGAGATGGCAGAATCGAATGCTGGAGATGTAACCATGACCAAGGAGCCGAATATGAGAGGGTGAAACCCCAGGGACGTGATTCTGACACTGCCTCCTTGATATCACTGGAGAGGATACTGGGGGAAGTGGAAACCCTCTCACTGGCATCAGCTTTTATATATCCAACATAGGTTTCTTCTGCCCAGTTTCCACGAAGCATGAGACACATCCATAGTTTACTAAAAGCAGAACAAATCCTCAAATCCTTGTGATCCCCAACTCAATTCCCACTAATGAATAGCATGAGTTGCCAGCTCTGGTGCCTCTCTGCATCCCTGAATCCACCCAACCTGACTGTCAGCTTTTCCAGTTCTTGAGGACATGGTTGCTGAGGTCACTATTTCTACTACCCTTTAAAATTAAGTCGGTATTTTTGGTTTGGCTTAATTATAGAGGTGGTAAATTTTTCTTTAAAATTCAAATGGCACTAAAGTCTATATATATTAAAGTAAAAGTTATCTTTGGCTAGAGTTAATTAACAAAAAACAAAGTAAAAGTTCTCTCTCCTTCCCTCAATCCAAAAGAAACAGTCAAATTTGGTGTGTATCCTCCTAGACTTTGTTCACGCAAATATGAGCATATCTGTGTGTATATATATGCCAAATACATATATTTAACCTATTTTCTTTTTAGTCAAATGAGACTCTATCATATATATTACGCTACAACTCGCCAGTCTTTCCTTAATGTGTCTTCCGCATTATTTCATGTCTACCTATTCCAAAACTTTATTCTTCTTGCCTGCACAATGCAGTCCATAGTATGAACACACTATAATTTTTTTTTAACAGAGTTTTACTCTTGTCATCCAGGCTGGAATGCAGTGGCGCAATCTCAGCTCACTGTAATCACTGCCACCTGGGTTCAAGCAATCTCCTGCCTCGGCCTGCCAAGAAGCTGGGATTACAGGTGTATGCCACCATACCTGGCTAATTTTTGTATTTTAGTAGAGACAGGGTTTCACCATGTTGGCCAGGCTGGTCTCGAACTCCTCAGGTAATGCGCCTGCCTCAACCTCCCAAAGTGTTGGAATTACAGGCATAAGCCACTGTGCTCGGATGGGTTTGTTTGAATACACTGTAATTGTTCATTGAAAAATTAATTTTTATTTCAAATGATATATACAAAAATCATCTTAGGCAAACTTTCTATTTTATCAGACTAGTTTCTTGAATCATGATGGCTTCCTCCTGTTAAGTAATGCATTCAACTCTATCTCCTGTGAATCTATTAGTCTTTTAGGGAATTCAGAGTCGATGTTCCACGATTTTGGTGGGTTTTACATAAAATTTATCGGAGATTGAGTATTGGTGGAAGAGAGGATATTGATAACATAAAATAAATCTAAAGTTCTAGTGTTAGATTTGGTCTTACAAAGTACACACTATCAAACCAAACTGGGGTCTCCTCACCTGCCACAGTAAGGCCAAGCACTGACACTGGGATTGCACCAAGAGAAAGCGAGGCATTCACTATAGGGCATCAAGCAAGAACTCCAATTCCCCAGTGGCTTACAGGTAAGGGTTTTAAAGGTGGGAGGCAAGGCCAGGTACAGTGGTTCCCACCTGTAATTCTCGCACTTTGGAAGGCCAAGGTGAGAGTATCCCTTGAGCTGGTTTGAGACCAGCCTGGCCAACATAGTGAGACCCTGACTCTACAAAAAAATTTAAAAAATTAGACAGATGTGGGGGTGTATACCTATAGTCCCAGCTATTTGAGAAGCTGAGGCAGAAGGATTACTTGAACCCAGGAGGTTGAGGCTGCAATGAGCAGCTGATTGCACTACTGCACTCCAGCTTGGGTAACAAGACCCTGTCTCAAAAAACAAAAACAAGAACCACCCCTCCCCCCCAAATACCACAAAGGTGGAGAGGCAGAGGTTACAGCCAAAGTCATAAATCAATACATGGTGGCTATACATTGGTTTGATCTCAAAGATGGGACATCTTGAAGCAGGGACCTATAGGCCAAAGGTGCATTCAAAAATTTTCTGATTTGCAATTGGCTAAGGAGGAGCTTTGTCTAAAACTCTGAGTTAGAATGTTAGCTCCAGCTCATGGGCATGACCTCCTCCAGGCCCCTTAAGAAGAAATTTAGAACAAAGAACAGCAGTCCCAAGTTGTCCTGAGTCCCGGCTTATCAGTCTACATGCCAGCAAATACACTCAGTTTTTGAAAACAACTCAGGGACATATTTTAAGATGTTATCTTTAGTTTCTATAGGGAACCAAGCATCTCAACTCTTAACTTCCTTGGCAATTGTTTTAAGCTACCATTATCTTCTTGCTTATCAAGTTGCTTGTTTACTTCTCAGGACTACCCCAGAAATTCTCTCAAAGGAATTCAAGGTTTTTCCTTTATTTTCATGCTCCGGGTGCCCACAGGCCTTAACAAAAATATCTATTATTTTTGTTAATAATAACACACCTGCTCCATCTCACATATATAGGTAGGTTAAATTCCTTTGATGTTACAGGTGAGTGCTTGTCCAGATAGTTCTGTCCTAAAAATATTTTTCCCTCAGGTACCTCATGTTCTGATCAGACTTTTTTTTTCCAACTAAACAAAGTGAACTTACTAAATAGTTCACTTGTCCCTGTTTTTATTCAGCAGTACCTAAGGAACCTGGGTGCAGTGGCTCATACCTATAATCTCAGCATTTAAGGGCCAATTACAATTCCTGATCAACATGAGATAATCAGGGTATCATTCTGATTTGATGGTATTCCAGCAAAGAAATTTGATGAAAAGCACTCAATATCTTCACCGTATATAAAATATCACACAAATATGAAGGCAAGGACATTCTGAAATATTTTCTCTTAATAAATACAGCTGGTGTCTTACACATTCTTTCTAATTGGCTTGACTCTTAGAAGCACACTTACATAATGCTTCATATTTATGTACCACTTTAGAATTTAACATTCACTACCAACCTTATTGAAACCTCTCAACTACCACTGGGGTTAGCAGAGGAGGCATCTCTATCCTCATTTATATATAAGGAAACAGGTTCAGAGGGAAGCCTTGCCAAGTTCATACAGCAAGCCAGTAGTAAGGCCAAGATTCAAACACAGCTCCTCACTTGCTGAGGGACTAATTGGTTTTCTTCAAACTGTCTCCCAGGTTTCCACAGCACATCCTTCAAACTCCAGGAAATTCAGGTTAAAACACTAAACTAGAAAATATAAACATACACAAGGCACAAGAATTGCTACCACAGCAACTAAGCTACCATTTTCCTACACATTTGCTTTAGTTTCTACTATTTTTTTTTTTTTTTTTTTTTGAGATGAAGTCTTGCTCTGTTGCTAGGCTGGAGTGTAGTGGTGTGATCTTGGCTCACTGCAACCTCCACCTCCCAGGTTCAAGCAATTCTCCTGCCTCAGCCTCCCAAGTAGCTGGGACTACATGCATGCGCGACCATGCCCAGCTAGTTTTTTTTGTATTTTAGTTGAGACAGGGTTTCACCATGTTGGCCAGGATGGTCTCCAGCTCCTGACCTTGTGATCTGCCTGCCTCAGCCTCCCAAAGTGCTGGGATTACAGGCATTAGCCACTGTGCCTGGCCTTCATTTTTCTTTAATGAAAAAATGGTGGAGAAATACAAAGAACTTTTATTACTGCACAGTCATCTTACAAATTATTAAAGCAGAATGTCTGTTTTAAAAATTGAAAGTCTTACTTATAAGGAGACCTCACCTATGTGGTATTTCTTTCAGTGGTAGCAAAAGGCTCATAAAGCTAAATCTATCACTTACTAATGGGCACACCTCAGGCACTATTTCCAAGAAGTAAAAACAATTTCCTTGGAAAAAATAATCCATTAATCCATTAGTTTTTTCCCTTTGAAAAAGCGGAGAGCTAATGGAAAGGCACCTTAACTGGAGAAAGCAATCCAGGGCTGCTGGGTGGAGGCTGGAGAATCCCAGGTGGAAGGCTGGGCATGAGCCTTAAGTGTCTCAACTGGTGAGGTCATTCAAGTGGGAGAACAGACCAAAAAGACTCAAGGATGTCCTAAAGAGATAATCTACCTCCTATGCCTTCAGCCGTCCTTTCTAAGGATGTTCTTAAATTACCTACGTAGGTTAGAGCCAGGCAAGCTTAAAGGAGACAACTGGAGGAAGAGGTTATTAAGAGTTTAGAGAGTAGGAGACTCAGAAGGCTGAGACAGGAGGATCACCTGAGCCCGGGAGATGGAGGCAACAGTGAGCCATGACCACACCACTGCACTCCAGCCTGGACTACAGAGTGAGACATCATCTCAAAAAAATGTATTTGGGGGAAAAAAAGTATTTGGAGATTTTTTTTAACCACACACTT